CCGGAGCTGACTTATCGCATGGCAAAATACCAAGGGCGCATTTGCAAGTTGTAAACACCTTGAATCCTGCCACCCTATTGCCCATCCCTGAGGCAAAGGACTATGAGCCCCACAACTGTCTTCAAGTAATGGATGAGGTGTATTCTAGTCACCCTGACCTGAAAGATGAACCCTTAAAGAACCCTGACATGGAATACTTCACAGACGGGAGCAGCTATATCTATGAGGGGGAAAGGAAGGCAGGGTATGCCATAGTGACCCTCGAAGAGACAGTGGAGGCCAAACTCTTACCAGTAGGAACCTAGGCCCAAAAGGCAGAAATTGTGGCACCTACCAGAGCCCTTCAATTGTCAGCAAGTTGCCGGGCAAATATATATACTGATTCTAAGTATGCCTTTCTAACCCTGCATGCCCATGGAGCTCTGTGGAAGGAGAAGGGACTCACTGGAGCAAAAGGCAAGGCCCTTAAATATGGCCCAGAGCTAGAGACCCACCCAGAAGCTGTATGGGCACTGGAGAATATTGCTGTAATGCACTGCTGTGACCACAGTAGGGAAGCCACTAACACAGCTAAAGGCAACCATTGGGCGGTTAAGGCAGCAAGGGCAGCAGCCCTTGAGGAACCCCCGCCTGAGACTGTACTAGCCTCACTTCTACCAACTGTTATTAATATGGAAGAAATGAAACCCATTTATGCTGAAGGAGAGAAAGGGTGGACCTACCAGGAAGGGGCGGCCAGAGTGCATCCACAAAAGGGATGGTTCATATTACCAGATCAGCGAGTTTTCATCCCAGAGGCCCTAGGAAGAGAAGTTGTGAAGCAGTACCATGAGTCCACTCATTATGGAACCACAGCACTGCAGGAAAGCCTATGCAGGCAGCTCTACATTGCCAGGCTATCTCAGCTGGCTGAGGCAGTGTCAGGAGTATGTCTGCTATACGCAAGGAATAACCCTAGACAGGGCCCAGGGCCCCCACCAGGGGTGCAGCAGACTGGCCTGATGCCAATGGAAAATCTGATTGTGGACTTTACGAGATGCCCAGGGCAAAAGGCTATCACTATTTGCTGGTTTTTGTGGATACGTTAACAGGATGGGTCGAAGCGTATCCCACGAGGACTGAAACAGTTGTTAAGTGCCTCTTAATGGAAATCATTCCGCGATTTGGGCTGCCAAGAAGAATCGGCAGTGACAATGGGCCAGCTTTCATCGCCTTAGTGGTACAGGGAGTGTGCCAGGCCGTGCAGATACAATGGAAACTGCACGCTGCTTACCGCCCCAGAGCTCCAGAAAGACAGAAAGGATGAACAGAACTCTTAAAACACAGTTGGCCAAATTGTGCCAAGAAACTCCTTTGCCTGGGATTGGATGTGGTCTTGGATTCCAGGATCAGGGCGGTTACATGGCCTTTTAACCGCCATTGCAGTAGGAGGACTAATATTATTGGTAATTCTGTGTGTCGCTCCTTGTTGCATATCCCTGATCAGGGGAATGGTGGCCCAAAGTATTAAGAGTCTCACTGACACGCATATAATGGCCATATATCGAGCCTTACTGCCCATCCCAGAAGGAGAGGACCATATTTATGCCAGACTAATCCATGAAATCCCTTTGGAAGAGACAGTGATATATTGCTGCTCCAGAGAAGCGGACACGGAGCAATGGAGCCAAACTACAAGAAAGAAAATTCCACCTAAACATTAGGAAGAACTTCCTGACAGTAAGAGCTGTTGGACAGTGGAATTTGCTGCCAAGGAGTGTGGTGGAGTCTCCTTCTTTGGAGGTCTTTAAGCAGAGGCTTGACAACCATATGTCAGGAGTGCTCTGATGGTGTTTCCTGCTTGGCAGGGGGTTGGACTCGATGGCCCTTGTGGTCTTTTCCAACTCTATGATTCTATGATTCTATGATATACCGGAGTTCAACATGAGAGTCAAACTGTTTTTTACACATTTCGTTATTTAATTGTTTGAAACATTTTAATCCCTTTATTTTGGTGGTAATAAACCCTTCAAAATCCGAGACATGAACTTGGGGCATTCCCTCTGGGTAGGAAACACCCCATGAGCACCCCTCAGAAAATGGGGTGTGTGCCCCCTTCAGAAAGATGGGTGAGGGGGCAGCAGGCAAGGTCGGTCTTGGTGCCACCCCACCTGCTTCCTACCTGTCGCTAAGGGTGGTCTGCACTGCAGGGGGCTCCTCTCCCAGATCCAGCTCTCAAGAAGAAGAAGAGGAAGAAGAGTTTGGATTTGATATCCCGCCTTTCACTCCCTTTAAGGAGTTTCAAAGCGGCTAACATTCTCCTTTCCCTTCCTCCCCCACAACAAACACTCTGTGAGGTGAGTGGGGCTGAGAGACTTCAGAGAAGTGTGACTGGCCAAGGTCACCCAGCAGCTGCAGGTGGAGGAGCGGAGACGCGAACCCGGTTCCCCAGATTACGGGTCCACCGCTCTTTACCACTACACCACACTGGCTCAAACTGAAGCCGCTTCAGTCGCCCTGATGGGATGACCTTCATCTCAAGAAGGACGAGGGGAGTTGCTTCTGCTTGCCATTTAAAGGAGGGGTTTTTGATGCCACTTTCCATGGCATCCTCTGGACTGACTTAGTGGGATGTTGCTGCTGGGGGACATTCCTGACATCTGGGATGTGACCTCCATCTGAAAGGATCAGTCAGGGTCCCGTGAAGACTTTAAATATTTATTTAAATTTTTTAAAGGCACTCAGGAACTGGATCCCTGCTCAGCCGTGCATCCCCCCCCCCTTGGTGAGATCATGTCACAAAGGGGAGGGAGCTTCTTGCGCAGATGTGGGCGGGGGGGGAGATGCATATGAAATTAGGAGAGAATATATTCGTTTGATACTGTATTATTCTTCCTTACTCATGGAAGCTGTCGATTACCTGGTTTCAGCTTTTTGATGAAGCAAACCAGGATGCCCTTTGCACAGAATGGATCCTTCCTGGTATTTCGCCCCTTTATTTCCCTCTTAATTATAACAACACAAAACAGTCTTCCTAAAATATAAATAAAGTTTACTCACAGTTAGTTCACATTCAGGCTTTGGCTGCAGTTACGGGAAGTTACTTTGGTTGCGGGAAGGTGGCGGTGGCTGCTCTGAGGGAAACGGCTTTTCCCGCCTTTTCCCAACTTCCCGCCTTTCGAAACCTGACCTTCCCCTCAGTTTTAGGCGCCAAGGAGGCCGATTCCTGGCAGACCAGGCGGCAGTTTCCCTCGGCTCCCTCGTTTATCGGGGGATTTCTTCTCATTCTGCGTAATTTCTCTTCACATCTCTCGCTTTTGGAGCTTCTCTCTGCTCCTTTAGAAAGGCCTGCCCCTCCCCCCCCCACTGCTTCCTCCTTCCCCAAAGACGAAGCAGCGCCTGGACGCAAAGGAGGAGCAGAGCTGCAGACCTCCTGGAAACTCGCCCCCTCCCTGGCTTGGCAGAGAGAAATGGGGGGCAGGACTCCTGACTTGGGGGTCTCCCCCCTGCATGCATGAGCTGAACAGCCCCCACCTCCCTTGCAGCCTTGGGACCCCCTTTCTGCCCAGTCCACACGGAGATGGAGCTACAGTGAGGGGGGGAAGTTCAGCTCGTTACATACAGTGAAGATACCAGGTAGCCTGACATCTGGCTGGTTGATAGGGGATCAAATACTTGTTTCACTCATTATAATGCACATCAATCTCTGACTGTTGTCTCCTGGGTTTCAGGGGGTTTTCATTTTGTTATTCTGTCTCTCACAGCTACAATAAACCTACCATTACAATAAAGGTAAAGGGACCCCTGACCATTAGGTCCAGTTGTGGCTGACACTGGGGTTGCGGCGCTCATCTCACGTACAGCTTCCGGGTCATGTGGCCAGCATGACTAATCCGCTTCTGGCGAACCACAGCAGCGCACGGAAACGCCGTTTACCTTCCCGCCAGTGCGGTACCTATTTATCTACTTGCACTTTGACGTGCTTTCAAAGTGTTAGGTTGGCAGGAGCAGGGACCAAGCAACGGGAGCTCACCCCTTCGCGGGGATTCGAACCGCCAACCTTCTGATCGGCAAGTCCTAGGCTCTGTGGTTTAACCCACAGCGCCACCCGCATCCCTACCATTACAATTATGGACTGGTAATTTCTTTGTGAGAGGGCAAACAGGCAAATTTAGTAGGGGATCAAATACTTTTCCCCCCTCACTGTAACTCCTCCGGCCCCTGGAGCGGCACACATGCTGTGCACCCAGAAGTGGGGCGTGCTGCCCACAGGGGCAGTGCAGCAAGCATCCCAGGGGGGCACCACCCACGGCGAGCATCCTAGGGGGGCAATATCACACACACCCTCAGGGATGACCACACGCCCTGCACCCCCCTTCCTCTGCCAGTGAGTGCAACTGATTCACCAGGTCCCAAAGGCCCCTCAGAGGCAACAAAGCCACACACCCTTCCCTTGCTGGAAGGAACTAGGGATGGAGGGAGGGGATTTTGCTCTGGAGGACCATGCCCCCCACCCCTACTTCCTGCCCTCTCTAGAAATCCAGATCTTATAATACAAATAGAACAGAGGGAACATATGTGGCCTCAGGGGTGAAATTTACATTTTGTTACGATCTCAAAGAGAATTTTTATAAAATGGTGTATCGCTCAAATTTAACTCCTGGAAAGCTTTTCAGAATGTATAAAGATGTTTCAAATGTTTACTAGGAATGCCAAGAACACAAAGGGACATTTTTATCATGCTGGGTGGACATGTAAAAAGGCTAAAAAATAGATTCAAATACATACATCGATACAGCAGGTTTTTAAAGTTAATATTCATCATCATCTTCATTTTTTATTTGTATGCCGCCTTTCCATAGTTAAAACAATGCTCAAGGTGGCTTAAAACATGACAAGATTTAGATAATTACCAACACAACAAAAGTCATAAACAATAAATAAAACACCTCAAAAAGTACACAGCCAAACGGAAAACAATTTCCACATAAATAATAAAATCTAAAACTAAGAATACAGCATTAATATGAATCACAATTTAAATGACATAGATAAAAAATAAAAGCAATTTTTATATACAAACAACAAACAAAGTTCAGTTGAAGGCAGAACTCTTTCTGGACACACTATTACAAAAGGATTATGGAAGATTACTTCAGTAAATGATTACAGCAGCGAGACTGCCATCATGTTTAATTGGAGAAAGTAGTTTTCAAATCTGGAGAAGAGCAAAACTTCACAAGGTTAGAACCAACAATATGTGGGACACAAGACCTCATATGAAACGGGTCACAAGGCCTTGGCTGGAGACCCTGCCCCCCAGAATGGGTGGGGTTGGACTTAAGTCTCTGTTATCACTGGGGAGGAAGCAGAACAAGGTCACCTACTTGGGGAATATATGCGAGACACTGACAAAAATGTGCCCCTAGTCAAGATCTGGTGCTGGGTTGCTGAATGAGAAGAGCATTGTTCCAATTGTTGCCCCTGTAAAAATCAAAGTCTCCCTTAAAATAATACACACCCATTACTATGTTTCTATTCACTGTAAATTGATTGATGGGATGTGACACCGGCGCCTTTACTAAAGCTCTTTCCACATTCCGTGCACTAATATAGCTTTGCCCTGCCGTGAGTCTTTTGATTGGGTGTGAGATTTTTCCTCTGACTTAAACTCTTTCCACGTTCTTGGCAATGAAATACTTTCTCCCCAAATTACCCACTGTGCTGTTGATGGAAGTATGGATCTTTATTAGTCTTCCCTACATTTTCAGCCCTGATATGCTTTGTATGGATTGTTTGATGGGGAGCTAGATTCCAGTTCAAGGTGAAGCTGTTTCCACATTTCTAGCATTAAAATGTTTCCTCCCCGTGTGAGTTCTTGCATGTAAATTGAGACTATCCTTCCGACTGAAGCTCTTTCCACATTCCAAGCACTGATAGGGTTTCTGCCCTGTATGAATTCTTTGATGCAAAGTGAGACCTGCCCTCCTTGTGAAGCTCTTTCCACACTCTTGGCATTGAAATGGTATCTCCCCACTGTGAATTATTTGATGGGAAGTGAGACCTTCTTTCCAACTGAAGCTTTTTCCACATTCCAGGCACTCATATGGTTTCTCCCCTGTATGAATTCTTTGATGGGAAGTGAGTTGGGTGCTCTGAATGAAGCTTTTCCCACATTCCGAGCACTGATAGGGTTTCTCCCCTGTATGAATCATCTGATGGGAAGTGAGATGGGAGCTCTGACTGAAGCTCTTTCCACATTCGGAGCACTGATAGGGTCTCTCCCCACTGTGAATTCTCTGATGTTGACGAAGGTTTGTGATTTTATTAAAACTCTTTGCACATTCCGAGCATTGATATGGTTTCTCCCCTGTATGAATTTTCTGATGGTAAGTGAGACTTCCCTTCTGGCTGAAACTCTGTCCACATTCCAAGCACTCATATGGTTTTTCTCCTGTATGAATTATTTGATGAGAAGTGAGCTTTGCCCCCTGACGGAAGCTCTTCCCACACTCTGAGCACTGATATGGTTTCTCCCCTGTATGAATCATTTGATGAGAAGTGAGATTGGCCCTATGACTGAAGCTCTTCCCACATTCCAAGCACTGATGTGGTTTCTCCCCTGTATGAATTTTTTGATGGGAAGTGAGACCGGCTCTCTGATTGAAGCTCTTTCCACATTCCAAACACTGGTAGGGTTTTTCCCCTGTATGAACTCTCCGATGGTAAGTGAGACTGACCTTATGACTGAAGCTCTTTCCGCATTCTTCACATTTAAATGGTTTCTCTCCTGTATGAATTATTTGATGGGAAGTGAGATGGGAGTTCCGACGGAACCTCTTTCCACATTCCAAGCATTGAAATGTTTTTTGCCCTGTATGAATTCTTTGATGGAGCATAAGACCTGTCCTCTGCGTGAAGCTCTTTCCACACTCTGGGCATCGAAATGGTTTCTCTCCACTGTGAATTAGTTGATGTGAAGTGAGACTTACCTTCTGGCTGAAGCTCTGTCCACATTCCAAGCACTGATAGGGTTTCTCCCCCGTATGAATTCTCTGATGGGAAGTGAGAATTGTCCTCTGACTGAAGCTCTGTCCACATTCCAAGCACTGATACGGTTTCTCCCCTGTATGAATTCTCTGATGGGATGTGAGACTCCTCTTGAACTTGAAGCTCTTTCCACATTCAAAGCACTGATAAGGTTTCTCCTTTGTATGAATTTTTTTATGGGAATTGAGAGTTTCCTTCTGATGGAATTTCTTTCCGCATTCCAAGCACTTATACGGTTTCTCCCCTGTGTGAATTCTTCGATGGGAAGTGAGACTCTCCTTCCGACTAAAGTTCTTTCCACATTCCAAGCATTGATAGGGCTTCTCCCCTGTGTGAATTATTTGGTGGGCTGTGAGATGGGCCCTCTGACTGAAGCTCTTTCTGCATTCTAAACACTGATATGGTTTATCCCCTGTATGAATTATTTGGTGGACTGTGAGGTGGGCCCTGTGACTGAAGCTCTTTCCACATTCCAAGCACTGATAGGGTTTCTCCCCTGTATGAATTCTTTGATGGGAAGTGAGATAGGTGCTTACACTGAAACTCTTACCACATTCTAAGCAAAGATAGGGTTTCTCCCCACTGTGAGTTCTTTGATGGGCCGTGAATTTCGTACTTTGACTGAAGCTCTTTCCACACTCTTGGCATTTAAATGGTTTCTCCCCACGATGAATACTTTGATGTCGATGAACGTTTGTGCTTGTATTAAAGCGCTTTCCACATTCTAAGCACTTATAGGGTTTCTCTCCTGTATGAATTCTTTGATGGGAAGAGAGAGTGGCGCTGTGACTGAAACTCTTTCCACATTCCAGACATTGATACGGTTTCTTCCCTGTATGAATAATTTGATGGCCCATGAGATGGGCACTCCGACTGAAGCTCTTTCCACACTCTTGGCATTTAAATGGTTTCTCCCCAAGATGAATACTTTGATGTCGATGAAAATTTGTGCTCGTATTAAAGCTCTTTCCACATTCCAAACACTGATATGGTTTCTCTCCTGTATGAATTCTTTGATGGGTCTTTAGGTTGGTCCTCTGACGGAAGCTCTTCCCACATTCCAAGCACTTATAGGGTTTCTCTCCTGTATGAATTCTTTGATGAGAAGTGAGAGTGGCGCTGTGACTGAAGCTCTTCCCACATTCTGAGCACTGATAGCCTTTCTTCCTACTGTGAGTTCTTCGATGGGAACAGGAGCTCTGACTGGAGCTCTCTTCACACTCCCAATCTTGATATGGCTTCTCCACTGTGTGGATTCTGTTGTGGTCTCCATTCTTCATTTCCAATCCATCACCAACTACAACGAAGAGAGAAACTAATTAGATCCTCAGGAAGAAACGGAGTCCCCAATTATTAAACAATGTTCTTCCTGTTTCACAAAAGTTCATTGTTGTTGTTTAGTCATTTAGTCGAATCGAAGAGTCAGACACTACTAAACAACAGCAACAATGAACTTTTGTGAAACAGGAAGAACGGAAGACGTGAGGTCTTTCTACAGAGGTCATGTCCTTTATTGAACAGCATTCTTGGACATACGTATTTTTCTCTCCATAAGATGCACCTGACCATAAGACGCACCTAGTTTTTAGAGGAGGAATACAAGAAAAAGAATATTGTGAACGAAACAGTGGATGTATGATTTTTGTGGTTCGTGTTTTGGCCACAGACATGTGATTTGATGGTGAGTTTGGAGTAGCCCAATGCAAAAATCCTGAGAATCCATGTGGATCCATGCTTTGTAACCATGTTTTTGTGCCATTGCAGCCCCACGCAACAGTGGGTGCGTGATTTTTTTGGTGCAGGCTGTAGCCATGGAAATGCTATGTGATCTGATGGTGAATTTGGGGTGACCCAATGCAAAAATCCTGAGGATCCATGGGCTATTACCTCCCCACTCCCAGGCAGCCTTCTTTATTGCTAGCATCCCTTATCTCGCTCCTGATTGCTTGCCGATCAGCGGCTTTGTTTCAACACCCACTTCCCTCTTTTTTTAAAAAAAGCATGATCTGCTTTTTGCCCCGGGCAATTCGGCTCCAGGGACCACGCATTCGCTCCATAAGACGCACAGACATTTCCCCTTACTTTTTAGGAAGAAAAAAGTGTGTCTTATGGAGTGAAAAATACGGTATTTATGGAAACCAGAGGTTCAAAAGCAGTTTCCTGCTTGGCAGGGGGTTGGACTCGATGGCCCTTGTGGTCTCTTCCAACTCTATGATTCTATGAAAAAGTCTGGCTCTTTTCTAGGACGGATTTAGTTTGCCACAATCATGAAATCCACTCCAACTCTAACATCGGTCTTCTCTTTCAAAAATGGGCAGAAGCAAAAACAAAACCTCATAAGGTGACAGAAGTTAGCTCAACTTCCCTAATAACTCCACAGTCTGCATTTAAGTAGACCTGGTTGGTTCAGACCCCCTGGTCACTGTTTTAAAAGCCATAACTTCCTGGCCTCATAAAAACTGCTGCTGTGGCTGCTGCTCGGCAAGGACTGGGGAATTTTGTTGGGAGTTTTTGCTGTTTTATTTTTATGTTTAAATTGTTCAGTTTCATAGTTTTTCATGTGTTTTATTTATTTCGATGATTACTTTGATATATTTGTAATTTTGTAAATCTTTTCATATTGTAAGCCGCCTTGAGCTTTGTTTTAACTGTGGAAATGCAGCATAGACATGGAATGATGATGATGTTGATGATAACTGGAGGAAGAATATTAACAAACAGAGTAAATCCCTCCATTCAGGGTTCAAGCTGGGGATGTTAGAATCCCAGATGCTTGTTGAACTGCATCAAAATATTGGCATTTCCTCACATAGAGCAATGCATGGAATTTCAAAACAGATATTATGATCCAACAGGGAGCCTTACGGAGAGAGTGCAGGATCCCACGATTCTCCTCCATGACGTCCTTATGCAGAGCTCTCTGGTCAGGATCCAGCAATGCCCATTCCTCATCTGTGAAACGAACAGCGACATCTTCAAAGCACACCGGACCCTAAAAGAAAGAGGGACATGTTCTCCTCTTAGACAACATAAAGATGATCTACTCCACATTGCTCTGTTGTGATCATGTTTGAATGGGATTGTTTTGTGCACATGTTAAACATAGATGCTTATTTTAACATCTCAGTGGAATTATTTTATTGTGTATTTTAATGATGGGTATTCATCCTTGTGCGGTGACAGTACCCTTGGTGGGGGACACATCCTGCTCCTTCTGGGGTAGTTTGTCCACCTTTGATCCTCATCCTGCACTCTGCTCTCACCTGTGGCTCCTAGAAGCTGTCCGCATGAGACAGCGGCCACAATCTGGGAATGGCTTTGACTGGATGGCTAAACCAGGTGAGAAGAGTCAACCCTCAGTAAGTTAGTAATGTGTCTTGCATGTGAAGATAGGCTTCAACAGACTGAGCGGATGAGACCAAGAGTGGGTCCCAAAGTCAAGATGGTGGTTGCTGCATGTGTTTGTAGGAGGAAGAGAGGAGCAGATGGGGCGACATCCTGGAGAGTGAAGTCAAAAGAGCCTTAGAAAGCACTGCAAATAACAAGGCCAGTGGAAGTGATGATATTCCAGCTGAACTATTTAAAATTTTAAACGATGACGCTGTCAATGTGCTACACTCAATATGCCAGCAAATTTGGAAAACTCAGCAGTGGCCAGAGGATTGGAGAAGATCAGTCTACATCCCAATCCCCAAGAAGGGCAGTGCCAAAGAATGCTCCAACTACCGCACAATTGCACTCATTTCACACGCTAGCAAGGTTATGCTTAAAATTCTACAAGGCAGGCTTAAGCAGTATGTGGACCGAGAACTCCCAGAAGTGCAAGCTGGATTTAGAAGAGGCAGAGGAACCAGAGACCAAATTGCAAACATGCGCTGGATTATGGAGAAAGCTAGAGAGTTCCAAAAAGACATCTACTTCTGTTTCATTGACTATACAAAAGCCTTTGACTGTGTTGACCACAGCAAACTATGGCAAGTTCTTCAAGAAATGGGAGTGCCTGATCACCTCATCTGTCTCCTGAGAAATCTCTGTGTGGGACAAGAAGCTACAGTTAGAACTGGATATGGAACAACTGATTGGTTCAAAATTGGGAAAGGAGTACGGCAAGGCTGTATATTGTCTCCCTGCTTATTTAACTTATATGCAGAATTCATCAGGCGAAAGGCTGGGCTGGATGAATCCCTAGCCGGAATTAAGATTGCCAAAAGAAATATCAACAACCTCAGATATGCAGATGACACAACCTTGATGGCAGAAAGTGAAGAGGAATTAAAGAACCTTTTAATGAGGGTGAAAGAGGAGAGCGCAAAATATGGTCTGAAGCTCAGCATCAAAAAAAGAAGATCATGGCCACTGGGTCCATCACCTCCTGGTAAATAGAAGGGGAAGAAATGGAGGCAGTGAGAGATTTTACTTTTTTGGGCTCCATGATCACTGCAAATGGTGACAGCAGTCACGAAATTAAAAGACGCCTGCTCCTTGGGAGAGAGGTGATGGCAAACCTAGACAGCATCTTAAAAAGCAGAGACATCACCTTGCCGACAAAGGTCCATATAGTGAGAGCTGGACCATCAAGAAGGCTGATCGCCGAAGAATTGATGCTTTTGAATTCTGGTGCTGGAGGAGACTCTTGAGAGTCCCATGGACTGCAAGAAGATCAAACCTCTCCATTCTGAAGGAAATCAGCCCTGAGTGCTCACTGGAAGGACAGATCCTGAAGCTGAGGCTCCAAGACTTTGGAGAGCTCATGAGAAGAGAAGACTCCCTGGAAAAGACCCTGATGTTGGGAAAGATGGAGGGCGCAAGGAGAAGGGGACGACAGAGGACGAAATGGTGGGACAGTGTTCTCGAAGCTACAAACATGAGTCTGACCAAACTGCGGGAGGCAGTGGAAGACAGGAGTGCCTGGCGTGCTCTGGTCCAGGGGGTCACAAAGAGTCAGACACGACTAAACAACTAAACAACAACAACACCAGACTGCCCCACCCCTTGGCCTCTTTCCCCACACGTCTCCTTCCCCCTACCTGATCTGGTTCCACAGCCACTGCTTCCTCTTCGCCACCGTGAAAAGACAGACGAAGATGTCTTGCTGCCATTGTTCTCTCACCTGGAAGAGACAAGGTTAACTGGGAAACCTAGAGTGTATGCTGCTCTCTGAGATTCAGCTGTGCATCTCGAACTACAGACGAACCTCAGAAAAAAGTCTCACCTGCTAAGGGCATTTTGACATTTCTATCCATTTCATATTTTATTTTTGTTAAAACACTGTCCCCGCTCCTCTGTCCCTCCAAAACATGAACCCCCCCTCCCACAAACTATTAGTTTCAAAATCCACTAAATATGACAGAGTAAAAACTCCTTCCTCCTTACCCATTGGCCTCTCTCCGGTGCCCAACGGAGTCCTTTCTGCTGCAGAGGAATCGAGACCCATTTCTGCTAACAGATCCTTTCCCTGAAAGAACAACACAGATTCAGAAGAGGCAAAAACTTTAGGATGCTTTCCATTAGTAGGGCATTTTGGAATACTCTCCCTCTTGTTTGGAACTCATTGGGAGTATCCAGAGGAAAGTCTCTCTCACCTGCTGCTCTGCCTGCTGTCTCTCTTCTGCCTGACTCAGGAGGAAACCTTCGGCCAGGGCCACTGCCTGGGAACTGGTCTCCGCTCCACAGTCCCTCACCCAGCTCTCCATCTCCAGGGGAAGGACAGCCAGGAACTGCTCCAAGATCACCAGGTCCAGCATCTCAGCTTTCGTGTGCCTTTCTGGCTTCAGCCACTGATGGTCTAGTTGGCAGAACTGGCTGCAAACCTCTCGGGGTCCTTCGGCCTCTTGGTAGCAGAACTTCCTGAACGGCTGGCTCTGCACATCAGAGCAGAGAATGTCCTCCTCACCCAGGAACCTTTGCATGGAGTTTTCCCATAATCCCCCACTGCTCCCAGTTTGCATATCATGGTCTCTTCCCACTTCAGGACCAACTGAGTCTTGCTCATCCATCTCTGCTCTCAGGAAGTCTCCAAGAGATCAGAAGGAATCTTCTGCCACGTTCTGTCTGTGCGAATCAGAGGTGCCAGCAGATCCTACAACAGAAATGTGTTGCTCTGTTGTAAAATTATAAACCATCAGGAGAAGTAAAGCCTTCCTTGAAAAAGCCTGCATGCTCAAAAAAACTGGCCAGTTTTCAAGATCCATTTCAGTTGTGCTTTAGGCCTGGTTTTGACACAGAAATCGCTTTGGTCACCCTGTATGGTGACCTCTGTCAAGAGAGAGGCAGGGGAAACATGTCCCTGTTAATTCTCCTCAACCTCTCAGCGGCTTTTGATACCATCGACCGTGGCATCTTCCTGGAGCGCCTGTCCCAGTTAGGGGTGGGTGGCCCCCCCTTTGCAGTGGTTCTGGTTCTACTGGGATGAACGTTCCCAGAGGGAACCACTTGGGAAGCCCCATGGAGCCTTCAATGTGGGGTTCCTCAGGGCTCAATCCTATCCCCTATGCTGTTCAACATCTACATGAAACTTCTGGGTGGGGTTATCAGGAGGTGTGATGACACCCAGCTGAAACTGAAACTCAATCCAGATAAGACCGAGGCAATGTGAGTGAGTGGCTCCCTAGACCAGTTGGCTGGGAGGTCGCCTGCTCTTGCGGGGGTTACCCTTCCTCTGAAGGAGCAGGTTCATAGCTTGGGGGTCCTCCTGGATCCTTTGCTATCCCTTGAGGCTCAGCTGGCCTCAGTGGCCTGGTGTGTCTTCCATCAGCTTCAGCTGGTGGCCCAGCTGCGCCCCTATCTGGACATCCTGACTCCTGTTGTCTATGCTCTGGCAACCTCAAGGTTAGATTGCTGCAATGCATTGTACATAGGGCTGCCTCTGGGGAAGGTTCGGAAACTTCTGCCAGTGCAGAATTCAGCAGCCAGTTTGCTCAAAGTGCTGGTTTTGACGGCTCAGGGCCACAATGCCTCAAGGACCGCCTCTTTCCATATGAACGTACCTGGACCCTGAGTTCACCTTGTGATGCCTGGAGGGCCTTCTCTGCAGTGGCTCCCCATCATTGATGGCATAGGAATTGGCTGCTATGCCCATACAGTCATACCTTGGGTTACAGATGCTTCAGGTTGTATGTTTTCGGGTTGCGCACCGCGCTGAACCTGGAAGTACCGGAATGGGTTACTTCCGGGTTTCGGTGCTCACGCATGTGCAGAAGCACTAAATTGCGCTTTGTGCATGCGCAGAAGAGCCGAATTGCGACCTGTGTGTGTGCAGACGTGGCGCTTCAGGTTGCGAACGTGCCTCCCACACGGATCACGTTCACAACCCGAGCATCCACTGTATTTATTTACCTGTCTTATAGCTGCCCCAAAGCAGAAGTACTCCAGGTGTAGTGGTAATAATAATAATAATAATAATAATAATAATAATAATAATAATAAATTTTATTTATACCCCGCCCTCCCCAGCCAAGACCGGCCTCAGGATGGCTAACAACCGATATAAAAACAAATTGATTGAAATACAACTTTAAAACAAGATTAAAATACAACATTAAAACATTAAAAATGCAGCCTCATTTCAATGGAAACTCAAATCAAAAACTGTAGAGTGTCAGACAAGGACCGGGGAGATCAGGGTTCAAATCCCCACTCAGTCCTCAAGCTCTCTGGGTCACCCTGGAGTAAGTCCCCCTGGGAGACCCCCTGCGAGTGGTGCAGAAGATGCTCAAACCCTGGGCTAGGAGCCCCTTCCAAAGACTGGGAGCCGGGTGGCCTGAAGGCTCCGCTTGCCAGCACAGGACCGCCCCCCCCATCCCACTCCCGTCACCTGGCCTACGCCAGAGCGGCTGATTTGGGGGACCCTTGGGGGTCTCGGCTGAAGGCAAATTCACTCTGGCGGGAGGGGAGCCCTGGGGGCCGGACGAGCCTCGTGGGCAAGCACAGGGCTGTTGTGGGTTTTTTAAAAAGAGAGATGGGTAGATACTTTATTTACATGAGCCACTAGCAATAGCAATAAGATAACACATTTGGGGGATAGAGTATACAAGTTTGTTATACAAAATATGTCCCGGAGGTTGACATTGATACAAATGGCCAAACTGACACCTGGCGATTTAGGCACAGAGGAAACATGTGAGCCTAATACGCTTCCCTGAGCAATGTTAGAAAGTAAAGCCAATACAGTGGTACCTCTAGTTACGTACTTAATTCGTTCTGGAGGTCCATTCTTAACCTGAAACTGTTCTTAACCTGAAGCACCACTTCAGCTAATGGGGCCTCCTGCTGCAGCTTCTCATCCTGAAGCAAAGTTCTTAACCCGAGGTACTATTTCAGCGTTAGCGGAGTCTGTAACCTGAAGCGTATGTAACCTGAAGCGTATGTAACCTGAAGCGTATGTAACCCGAGGTACCACTGTAATCTATCTTACTCTATTTGCCCTGCTAACAATGCTGCCGTTTCTGCTGTCTCCTGGTCTCCTGGATCTGCCAGAAGAAAAGACACAGAAGCAGCAAGGCTGGAGGGACCTGGCAAAGAGGAGGAATACGCCCCCCCCCAACTCTTTATTGAGCATAAGGGGCTTTATCCGCAGCTCCCCCCCCGCCCCCTCCCTCCCCCAGGGGGCAGAGCCCTGGCCCCCTCCCCCCCGCAGGATCTGTCCAGCCCCCCGCCCCCTCCCCTGCACCCCGACCCCCCCTTCTCCCCACGGCGAGACTCACCCCGAGAGAGGGAGACCCTCCGCTGGCAGAAGGGGGCTGGCGAGGGAGGGTCCTTGGCCAGGGAGGACCTCGCCCCCCCAAGACGCCACTTCCGGTCCTCTCTAGGAATCCAGCTCCGCTGCTTTTAACCCTTGGCGAGCCGAGCGGAACCTCCTCCTCCGAGGCATCGCCCCCCCAGAGACGCTTCATTTGGGAGACACCCCCCCAAGAATCAGGGGACCCCTCACATAGGAGAGTCTGGAAGGGAGCCCGAGGGGCATCCAGTCCACCCCCTGCCAGGCAGGAATCTCAGCTCCAGCATCCCTGACAGAGGGACCCCCACCCTCGGCAGAAACCTCCCTCCCCCCCCCTCTGCCTGCCGGTTTCTTCCCCCCATGGCAGTTAGACGACTCCCCAAAAATCCCGAGTCCCCCCCCCCAGCCTCGAACTGAGGCCAGGACAAGGAGCCCGACCGTTTCCCTTCACCTTTTACACAAGCCCCAGACCTGCAGAGAGGCTCAGAAAAGCAGCCTGTAAAACTGTGGCAATAAGGAGATAGCGTGCACTGTCCTGTTTCCACTGACGGGGAGACGCTTCATTTGGGGGGAGACCCCCAGCCCCCTTGAACTCCCCCCACCCCAGGCCAGAAGCAGGAGGAGGAGCAGCCGGGAGGGGAGAAGAAGCCAAAGGAAGGAGCTGGGGAGGTTGAGCCTGGAAAAGAGGAGATGGAGAGGCCACCCGATAGCAATGGATGGTTAATAACTCCTCTGGAAGAGGGGTATTCAGGGCTCCCTCCATAATCCCTTAAGCATGAGGTCACATACTCCTTGCCTCTCCATAAGGTGTGAATTTAGCCTCTCAATAGGAGGCAGGAGGCGATCAAGGACAGAAATCCAGGGATGGAGAATTGAGTCCTGATACTTTCAAAGGAGAAGCGCAGGAAAGCCTTGCGCCTCCGGAAAAATGGGCATTCCTTAAACAGGATACTGGGCCTTAAATCGCACCTCATGGGCAACCCTTTGACTATACTGTCCCCTTTTCTCTCCTTATCCAAACCTCACCCGTAGATAAGGGTAGAGCCCTCGTGCCGACCTTTCCATTCATAAAACACCTGGCCAATCACCAGGCACCATTCAAATAACTGTCATACCTGTTGCTGTTGTTGTTTAGTCATGTCCGCCTCTTCGTGACCCCTGGACCAGAGCACGCCAGGCACTTCTGTCTTCCACTGACTCCCGCAGTTTGGTCAAACTCATGTTCGTGGCTTCGAGAACACTGTCCCACCATCTCGTCCTCTGTCTCCCCCTTCTCCTTGTGCCCTCCATCTTTCCCAACATCAGGGTCTTTTCCAGGGAGTCTTCTCTTCTCATGAGGTGGCCAAAGTCTTGGAGCCTCAGCTTCAGGATCTGTCCTTCCAGTGAGCACTCAGGGCTGATTTCCTTAAGAATGGATACGTTTGATCTTCTTGCAGTCCATGGGACTCTCAAGAGTCTCCTCCGTAAAAATGTCATACTAGCAGCCAATAAAGTCCCCTTATGTTGACAGCTACTGATATACCATCCAATGGGAGTTACGGAACAGCGCCCCCTGAGGGCCACACAGGTACTGCAGCTCTCAAGCCAGACTCGGCTCAGTTTAAGTAATCAGAAGCACCACTGGGAATAAGGGGACGTGAGAACAGGCAATCAAAACCACTTTTGACACATTTGTAGTGAAAACCTTTAGAAACTAATGTAAAATAACTCCAGGGAGGGATTTACACCATTCCAATGTTGTTCTACTCAGAAGGAGGGGGTAGGAAGTAAAGTTTTCAAATGTCAAAATGAATGTAAAATCTGTGAAATGTGTGAGTGTGTGTGTGTGTGAAAATATAATTAAATAATTAAATTAAATAATTAAAATATAACTTTTAAAAAATGTGTTTCTTTTCCCAGTGTGGAAAGAATCATGGAACTGTCTGTGTGCAGACAGTCTCAGCTTGCAAGCACGGTCTGCCTTTTGGCCATTGAAGAAGAGGAAGAAGAGTTTGGATTTGATATCCCGCCTTTCACTCCCTTTAAGGAGTCTCAAAGCGGCTCACATTCTCCTTTCCCTTCCTCCCCCACAACAAACACTCTGTGAGGTGAGTGGGGCTGAGAGACTTCAAAGAAGTGTGACTGGCCCAAGGTCACCCAGCAGCTGCATGTGGAGGAGCGGAGACGCGAACCCGGTTCCCCAGATTACGAGACTACCGCTCTTAACCACTACACCACACTGGCTCTGTGTGCCAGTCCCCACATTTGCCCAGCACAGGTAATATGAAATTACTGGGTTATATTCTCCAAACAACATTAAACTCGTGCAAGCAATGATTTCCCCGTCTCCTGAACTCCCCAGACAAACTAAATTTATGATAATTTAGCAGTGCAGATCACTGTGGATCAAATGGTGCATTCTACTGCTAACATTACATCTTAAAAGATATGCTTTGATACAGAAGTAACTACACTCAATCTATAAATGGAACCTCAGAAAATCTAGTTGCACCAAAGGAACATAAAACAACAAAAAATCTCTTTCACTTTATGGATCAAAAGATAATCTCTGCTGGATTTGAAATTATATTATGAGGCATCTTGTCTCTGCTGGCTAAGGGAATGGATAACTTTTAAGAAATACAGATATTTTAGACCTTGAGGGTCACGATAATAGATTTGGTTGGCATGCATATTTACGGTATGAAAAGACCAAATGGCATAAAGGATTTTTGAACCATTAGTCAAGAAAAACTACTTATGGTGGGGGGGGGGGGCTATTAGAACAGAAGACACCATCATGGCTTTCCCCAATGGAAGTAATATCCCTAAAAAATGTGAATGCAAAAGGTGTGTGGGCAACCAATAGAGTTGCTCACAGAAGTAGAACAATTGAAATTGAAAAGATTTGAACATATAAGACAGTTAGTTACAGATTGGTTGCAAAAATCCAGAAGTGAACTGTACAAACTTGTACAAGAACTCAATAACAGGCCTGATTTCTGAAGGGCTCTGCTGACCTTGTGAAAATGACCTAGCACACCAATTTATATCTCTAAGATTTTGCAGACTTTGGCTGTGAACTCAGGCCCCACAAAAAATTCAAGTTGTGCCCCAGAGTTTCAATTGGGCCACACTGGCTGGCCCTGAGTCTCACAGTTGCTGGGCCCAAGTTGCCCTGCCCTCGCATGAAGTCTTGGGTTTGCAATTTGGGGAGAGAAGAGACTGCCTGCTGGGGGGCGGGCGGGCTAGGGAGGCCCCATAGATTTAGCGGCCCTAGGCTTCAGCCTACTTAGCCTATACATAAATCCAGCACTGGGTCTGTTCTCATCTGTAAGTGAACTCACATTCGAAACAGTGAATAAGAAGTCAAAGTGAATTTCCTGGGACGCATTTTATTCCATCTCACCTACAATTCTGTGTGCTGAACACACACAAACACATAGCTAATATGAAATTCCTGGGAGTTATAGTCTCCAAACAACATTAAACTCGTGCAAGCAGGTTAATGATTTCCCCGCCTCCTTGAATTCTCCAGACAAATGACATTTATGATACTTTAGCAGTGCAGATCACTGTGGATCAAATGGTGCATGCTACTCTTAACATTACACCTTAAAATATATTATGCTTTGATACGGAAGTAGCAACACTCCATCTATAAAGGGAACCTGAAAAAGTTGCACCAAAGGAACATAACAAAGACACATAAAAGGAACATTTTAAAAAACACAACTTTAAAATACATTCAAGTATGGGTGTGTTTTGTGGTGTCCATTCAAACATGATCACAACAGAGCAATCTTTATGTTGTCTAAGAGGAGGACATTTCCCTCTTTCTTTTAGGGTCCGGTGTGCTTTGAAGATGTCGCTGTTCGTTTCACATACCAGGAATGGGCGTTGCTGGATCCTGACCAGAAAGCTATGCATAAGGAAGTCATGGAGGAGAATCGTGGGATCCTGCACTCTCTCCGTAAGGCTCCCTGCTGGATCATAATATCTGTTTTGAAATTCCATGCGTTGCTCTATGCGACGAACCGCCAATATTCTGATGCAGCTGAATGGAGGGGCATCAACTGTTTTCTCTGTGAATATTCTTCCTCCACTTATGCCTTTTTAAACAATGACCAAGCTGGTCTGAACTAACCAGGCCTTCTTAAATGTAGGCTTCACAGTGTGGTATTTATATGCACAGAAGTTGCCCCAGGTCGTTTGACTCTTAAATGTTCTTTGATTCAGAATATTACAACTTATATGTGCGATACATAAAGAACATCTTACACTGATTTGCTTTACTTCGTTTCCCAATTTGCAGTTTAAATATCCCGAACCTTACCCCATATTTTTACAGTTTTACCATTAGCTATTAAAATTTCACCATCAACAGTTAAGATTTCTCATACCACCAATGAATTTTACATTGTGATGCATGGACATGCTCCTGAGTCAACCAGCCTCACTTCTGACTTCTCATCTGACAGACTCATTTCGTGTGGAATGAGATAACGGTATCTTCTGGCTCGGTTGCGGTTTGATTGCTTACTTTGAGATTTCTTCACCTTTGAAGCTCTGCAAAACTTGGCTGTATGTCCCTCCTTATTACAGCTGCAAGAGCGCAGCTGGCATTGGGGTTTAAACCACTGAGCCTCTTGGGCTTGCCAATCAGAAGGTCAGCAGTTCGAATCCCCACGACGGGGTGAGCTCCTGTTGCTCTGTCCCAGCTCCTGCCAACCTAGCAGTTCAAAAGCACACCAGTTCAAGTAGATAAATAGGTACCACTGCAGCTGGAAGGTAAATGGTGTTTCCGTGCGCTCTTGTTTCCATCACGGTGTCCTGTTGCACCAGAAGAGGTTTAAGTCCTGCTGGCCACATGACCTGGACAAACGCCGGCTCCCTGGTCCTGAAAGCCAGATGAGTGCCGCAACCCCACAATCGCCTTTGACTGGACTTAACCGTCCAGGGGTCCTTTGCCTTTATTACAGTTGTAGAAAATAATCTTCTTATGAATGCTCTTGTTACTTCTCTGAGAAACGAAGTTTGAGTTAGAGAATTTGATTGAAGAATCTTCTCTTCTTTCATTGCATTCCTTTTGTTAATTCAGAGTGTTAAATTTGGATTGCGGGGATTCAAACTGCCAACCTTCTGATCGGCAAGTCCTAGGCTCTGTGGTGCAGCCCACAGCGCCACCCACGTCTCCTATTCCACTGTAAAATTTCCTCTAATCATCCTAAAAAAATCTTTCTTCTTTTTAATCTGCTTTTAAAAATTGTTTTTGAGAGAATAATTAAGAGAACGGTGGCATCAAGTGGTCAAAATATTAACATCAGCAGAGGCTTGACAACCATATGTCAGGAGTGCTCTGATGGTGTTTCCTGCTTGGCAGGGGGTTGGACTCGATGGCCCTTGTGGTCTCTTCCAACTCTATGATTCTATGATTCTGTGATCAGTGTCTGAGGGAGAACCCTTTTTCTGCAGTGTTTATATGCATGGAGGCTGCCCCAGGTTGTCTGACCCTTTAAAAAAATATAGCTCTTTTTCTCTCCTAGGAAAGACTGCGCAAGATTCTCTGTTTAGAGTTTAAGCAGAACACATTATATTACTTGATATACTAAGACACGTTTACATGCGCTTATAACCAGTTTTATATATATATATATTGATTTTGATTATTTATACATTGATTCCATTCGTTATTCAAGACATAATAAGCTACACACAAAGCCCCAAAATAATTCAACATCAGATAATTCTGCTACATTAAGTCTTAAGAGTGACTTACATGTGCTTCTATCTATATGAGACTTTATGGACTTATTCTGAGGCACATAGCAGCATAAAACAAGCAGGCAGCTGCTCTCACAGAAATCTCAGTCGACAGTTGAGAACAGACCTAACTGAAAAAAGGGCCTCCTGGAATCCCAGCCACCCTTTCCACAGGATTTTAGAGGCAACATTCACACTCAGAGTTGTTAGGGAAGTTGAGGTAACTTCTGTCAGGTTTTAGGTTTCTGTTTTAGCCTCTGCCCATTTTTCAAAGAGAAGACCAGTGTTAGAGTTGGAGTAGATTTCATGATTGTGGCAAATCCATCCTAGAAAAGAGCCAGTCTTTTTTAACCTCTGGTTCCCATAAATATGTCCGCCTGTGCTGGGCCCGGGGGGACCCAGTGAAAACGCAGTCCAGGACAGGTCCCAGAATCCAAAGGTTCCGCTGTGAGTCCAGTCCGACAGGGCCAAGGCAGGAAACCAGGCAAAGACAGGTACAGGATCTGACATACAGCAATGTTGCTCCCACAATCTGGGGTGGGTCCGACAACCTTCATCTTTGTCAGGGTAGCGGCCGGTCCTGACCCCCTGGTGACTCACCTCCTTATCTCGCCCGAGGGCGAGCACTCCTCCTGCGAGTACTTGGGTCTCTCCTTCTCTCAGACCTTAGCCTCTGCAGCTCAGGAGATGCCGGTGGGTTTACTAGACCCAGTGGCCGCCTCAGCCTCCCCTGACCAAACTGGTAGTGGAGCAGCTGTAAGTGATGGCCCAGCTGAAGGCAACGAGGGAATCCCTGCATCTGGAACCAGGGCAGACTCAGCCCCTGACCTGGCGCAGCTGGTGTTTGTTGCATAGGAACCTGTGCAGATTGGGATTCTTCAGGATCAGGCCCCAGACTTGGTTCAGATGCTGCCAGAGGCAAAGGATCTGGTGCAGACTGAGACTCCTCTGGCTCCAAGTCCAAGCCAGAGTCCCAGGCTATCACACTGTGAATGCTGTTCAACAAAGGTCATGACCTCTGTAGAAAGACCCCACATCTTCCATTCTTTCTCTTTCACAAACATTCATTAGCATTGTCTAATAATTGGGGGCTACGTTTCTTCCTGAGGATCTAATTAGTTTCTCTCTTCGTTGTAGTTGGTGATGGATTGGAAATGAAGAATGGGGGAGACCACAACAGAATCCACACAGTGGAGAAGACATATCAAGATTGGAAGTGTGGAGAGAGCTTCAGTCAGAGCTCCCGTTCCCATCGAAGAAAGCACACTGGGAAGAAAGGCTATCAGTGCTCAGAATGTGGGAAGATCTTCACTCGTAGTGCCACTCTCACTTCCCATCAAAGAATTCATACTGGAGAGAAACCTTATCACTGCTTGGAATGCGGGAAGAACTTTAATACAATACCAAACTTCCATCGACATAAAAGTATTCACCGTGAGGAGAAATCATATCAGTGCTTGGAATGTGGAAAGGGATTCAGGTGGAAGAGTAGTCTTGATTCCCATCAAATAATTCATACAGGTGAGAATCCCTATCAATGCTTGGAATGTGGGAAGAACTTTAACAGAAGCACAAGCTTCCATCGACATCAAAGAATTCATCGCGCGGAGAAACCCTTTAAATGCCAAGAGTGTGGAAAGAGCTTCAGTCAGAGTACGAAATTTGTTGCCCATCAAAGAACTCACAGTGGGGAGAAACCCTATAAGTGCTTGGAATGTGGGAAGAGTTTCAGTCAGAGGGTGAATCTCACATCCCACCAAATAATTCATACAGGGGAGAAACCTTTTCAATGCCTTGAGTGTGGAAAGAGCTTTAGTCGCAGCTCCCATCTCACTTCCCATCAAATGATTCATACAGGGGAGAAACCATATAAGTGCTTAGAATGCGGGCAGAGCTTCATCCAGAAGGCAAGGCTCACTTCCCATCAAATAATTCACAGTGGGGAGATACCATTTCGATGTCCAGAATGTGGAAAGAGCTTCACAAGGAAGGAAGGTCTCATGCTCCATCAAAGAATTCATACAGGGCAGAAACCATTTCAGTGCTTGGAATGTGGAAAGAGCTTCAGTCGGAACTCCTATCTCACTTACCATCAAAGAATTCATACAGGAGAGAAACCATTTAAATGTCAAGAATGTGGAAAGAGCTTCAATCATAAGGTAAGTCTCACATCCCATCAGAGAATTCATACAGGGGAGAAACCATATCAGTGCTTGGAATGCGGAAAGAGCTTCAGTCACAGAGCCAATCTCACATCCCATCAAAGAATTCATACAGGGGAGAAACCCTATGAGTGCTTGGAATGTGGAAAGAGCTTCGGTCAGAGGGTGCAGCTCACTTCCCATCAAATAATTCATACAGGAGAGAAACCGTATGAGTGCTTGGAATGTGGACAGAGTTTCAGCCAGAAGGCGAGTCTCACTTCCCATCAAAAAATTCATACTGGGGAGAAACCTTATCAGTGCTTGGAATGTGGGAAGAGCTTCAGGACGACCAACCATCTCACTTCCCATCAGGTGATTCATACAGGGGAGAGACCATATAAGTGCTTGGAATGTGGAAAGAGCTTCAGTCACAACCACAATCTCACTTCCCATCAAAGAATCCATACTGGGGAGAGACCTTACCAGTGCTTGGAATGTGGAAAGAGCTTCAGTTGGAAAGAAGGTCTCAATTCCCATCAAATAATTCACAGCGGGGAGATACCATTTCGATGCCAAGAATGTGGAAAGACTTTCAGAAGGAGGGCAGGTCTCATGGTCCATCAAAAAACTCATACAGGGCACGAACCGTATTAGAAATGGGGAAACAGCTTCCCTTCCAAGAGGAGTCTAGCTTCCAATGAAGAAATCCATACAGAGTGAAAGCAGATCAGTGCTTGAAATGTAGGAAAGGCTTTAATAAAAGCACACACTTCCATCAACATAACATTAGTCACCGAGGGCAGAAACTATTTCAGTGCCAAGATTATGGAGGGAGTTTCAGTCAGAAGGAAAATCTCACACCCAATCAAAAAACTCACAGCAGCGAGAAGCCGTCTCAGTGCATGGAATGTGGAAAGAGATTGGTTAAGAGGGCCAGTGTCATCGCAATAGGTATATATAGGATTTAATTTGGGGAGACTTTGATTAGTATGTGGGCAAGGATTGGAAGAATGTTCTTGTCATTCAGCAACACAGCAACGGAACTTGACCGGGGGGGCATTTTTGTCAGTGTCTCACGTATATCCTCAAGCAGGTGACCTTTTCTTCTTGCCCAGCTGAAGTGTGGAAGAAATAAGGAGTGTGTGTTGTGTTAGACTGGCATCCGGCACTCTTCCCTGTGCCTCTGAGCCTTTGGACTTCCCCCTGGCTCCAAGCAGAGTTTCGCAACAGCGGTATGTGCCCTGTGTGGGTGCAATAAATAACAGTCCCGTACACAAGCTTCTTCCTAATATAAGAAGCTTTAATTTATGTACAGCATAGCAAAATAAATCCGGGAGAAAGAGCAAACATCCTCCCGTTTGTCAGCGGGAAACGAAAGTAACTCACACACAAAGAAACATTCCTGTATGTGAACAAGCCGCACCTCAGTAGGCAGGGATGATGCACAGAACTGTTTAACCCTGCAAGTTCTGATTTTCCTCACACACCCTCTCGTCCCGCATACTGAGGGAAACTGTAAGTACAACCACTTACCCCAAAAACAACCCTTCACAGAACTCCCCATGACGCTGGAAGCTCAAGGGTTTAGTGAACCCATCTGCCAGGTTATCCTGGCTTGGACAGTACTTCAGCCCACCAAGCCTGCCTGGACACTTTGACACACATTCTGGAGACGTATGTCCAAATGTTTGGTTCTGGACTTGACTCTGCCAACTTCAGACAGGGTTGGTTGTCTTCCCAAACAGTAATGGGCAAGCAACAATCCCCACAGATCTCTTGGACCAAACACCGGTAGAACTCCAATTCCCTACACAAATCAGACAACACACCAAACTCAGCTTCAGTAGAGGAAAGCACAATAAGACTTTGCTTTTGGGACTTCCACCCAACTAGAGATTCCCCAAACTTTACTACCATCCCAGACACCGATTTTCTGTCTCCAAGATTTGCCCAATCGCTGTCAGTCCAGCACGTGAGTCGTGCGTCACCATCAGCTGACAACGTGAGGCAAAAATCTTTGGTATCCTGCAAATACCTTAGCACTCTCTTGATGCCAAGCCAGGCACTCACACTGGGCTTTGTAGCCACCCGGCTGAGCGGGTTCACAGCAAACGCTATGTCAGGTCTGCTCCACTGGGAGAGATACAAACAGACTCCCAGCGCTCTTTGAACAACCAGGGTTTTGGAACTCAGAACGATCCCCAAGCTGACTGTCCTTCATGTAGCTCATCTCCATGGGCGTTTTGACCCCTGCACAGTCAGACATCTTGAACTTCTCAAGCAACTGCTCAATCTTGCCTTTCTGACTGAGCAAAAAACTTCTGTTCTCATACCTGTCTATCTGAGCTCCTAGGTAAACCTTTACTGGACCAAGGTTTTTGAGCTTAAAATGTTTCCCAAGCTCTTTGGCAAAACCTTGCACCTGTTTCCCTGTCTGTGACACATGTATGATGTCATCCACAAACACCAAGACCAGCTCCTGTGTCTCTCCTGACCCCTTCAGGTACAGGCAGCTGTCTGCAAGACTTCTCTGGAAAACCCATGCTTTCCAAAGCACCATTCATACACATGTTCCAATTTCTGGCTGATTCTTTCAAGCCATAAATGTACTTGGTGCAGTTTCCACACAACATCTGGCTCATTGCCCTCAAACCCTGGAGGAGGTAGCATGTACAGATCCTCCTTCAGGTCTGAGTTCAAATAAGCCACATCCACATCAAAGTGGTGCACTTGGTGCTCTCTTTGTGCAGCTAAACCAGAAAATCCAGATATTACAAGTTCCTTTTCTTTTTCACACGGAAACTCCACAAGAAATGGAAATGCTTAATAACTGTCAGTGATGATTTGTCTCTAATTAAGCATGTTAACTTTGCCATTTGAGCCAACCCCTATAGTTTCATCAGCCATTCCTGGGTCGGACTGTATCTTTGCATCTTTGTGTATATAGCAATTTTGCTGCTGTAATCCTATATTGAAGTAATCTTCCATAATCCTTTTCTAATTGTGTGTCCAAAAAGTGTCCTGGTTTCAACTGAATATTAACTTTTAAAATCTGCTGTATCGATGTATGTATTTGAATGCAATATATATTTTTGCCTTTTTACATGTCCGTCCAGCATGATAAAATGTCCCTTTGTGTTCTTGGCATTCCCAGCAAACATTTGAAACATATTTGTACATTCTGAAAAGTTTTCCAGGAGTTAAATACCAGCGACATCACTTTAAGAAAAATCTCTTTGAGATCATAAGAAATGTAAATTTTAACTCCTTAGTCCACATAGGTTCCCACTGTTCTTTCCGTATATTATAATCAGAGTTTTCGCCCCTTTCTTTAATCATGCATTCTTTCACATGTTCTTCAGTCTCAAATTTCAGCAATGGTTTATACATTTCGCATCATTTGTGTACTGTGGAGTTTCAAAGTCTGTCCTTTCTTGCTTTATACCATAATTTTTTTTATCCAGTTTAATCCTCGCTACTAACCACAAATGAGGGAACCAATCAAGATTGTAACTGTCCATTATGAATTGCTCCCTTGCTTTCCTGTGAAAATCCTGTGAACTCAGTTCCGGCACCTCTTTTTCTGGAAACATAGCACAGGTAATGCCAAAATACAAAATACAGGTAATGCCCCTAAGGTTGAGCTCCTCTCTTACCTCCCAAGTCCCGCTCCACAAAATATAACCCATAACCTTTAAAAAGAATTAAATACAGATGATTGTGTATGCAGTCCAGTGAACAGTTGCAAGGATATATTTTTGCAATGTCAACAGTCCCATCTGAAAGCAAGACCAGGATAGAGAACGGTCCTCAAAAGAACCACATGAAATCAATATTTCAGAATTTCTTGAAAGGATGTAGCATTGCTCCAGAGACAGAGGCCACGACACTGGGCTTTGCTGCTTTCAAAGAGGAGTCTGTCAGATCACGGTCTCGGTGCCTGGACTGGGACACACGGCTTCTAAAATGGAATTAAACAACCATCGCAGAAATCTTATCACACCCTTTAACTTGATTAGTTATAGGCAGCTCAGTGCTTTAGGTCAAGAAATCTGCAGTAGGGGGACCTGGAATGCCACTGAGACTGTACACACCCTACATTTGAAGCGCGCACACACACACACACACC